GATAAATTTACTATGAACTTATTCAATAAAAAGAATTAGTGAAAAAAATTCTAAACTTAAATAAAATAATAATGTTATTATATAAAAAAAATACTTAAATTTCATGTTTTATACTTTTAAATGCATAACAACATATTAATTAGTAAATCAATGATTAGGTTAATAAAAAAAGTGATAACTTAGTTATTAAACATTGATAACTTAATAATAATAATTTAGTAAATTAGTGATAACTTAACGGTGAATCAATTTCAGTTTACTAGTAATTAATTGATAAACTTAATAGTAAATTATGAATAATTTAATAGTAAATTAATGATAATTTAGTAGTTAATTATTGAAACTTAAAAATAAATTAATATAACTTAGTAGTAGTTAATCATTTAATAGTAAATTATGGATAATTTAATACAAATTAGTGATACCTTGGTAATGAATTATGGTTAAGTTAGTAATAAATTTGTGATAATTTTGTAGTAAACAATCAAAATTTAAGCAGCAAATCAATGATAATATAATAATAAATGCATAATAACATAATAGTACACAATTAATAATTTATATATAAATTATTAATAACTTAATAGAAATAATTAATAATTTAGTAGTAAATTAGTTAAACACAAACAAAAGCTTTGCAGTAAATCATTGATAACTTATAGTAAATTAGTTATAATTTTATAACAAATCATCAATAATTTAATAATAAACCATTATCAATTTAATAGTAAATCATTGATAATTTGGTAATATATCATTGATAGCTTAGTAGTTTAGTAATATATCATTGAGAGCTTAGTAGTAAATTACAGATAATATAATAATAAATCAATGTAACTTAATTGTCAATTATTGATAAACTTTTTTATACTTAAAATTGTTAGGAATTATATCTTCGTTACTAATGTTAGTGTAGTATTATCCCATATTTAATGAATATCTAATTTCTTGTAGTCTTATATTCAAGTTAGGCTCTTCCACTTACTGCTTATTTGTTTTAAGTTGAATGCTTAACATGACATCAGGCTAGGATTCTTTCTATTACCATTTTCAAATCTATCGCGTAGTAAGCTTCTTCTATTTTCACCTACATGTGAAAATGGCCTATTAGTGTAGTGTTATCTCACATTTAATAAATATCTAATTTTTTGTTATCTTATATTCAAGTTGAACCCTAACCAATTGATTGTAAATTAAATGCTTAATATGGTATCAGAGTTAAGATTTCTCTCTGTTGCCTTTTCCAAATTTGTCACTTTGTAGACTTCTTCTATCTCTGTCTACACATGATGGGAGCATGTTAGTGTGGTGTTATCCTACATTTAATGAATATATAATTTCTTATAATCTTATATTTAAGTTATGCTTCTCTACTTACTGCTAATTAATTTTAAGTTAGACGCTTGACAATTAAAAAAAAGAAAGGTAAAAATTTTATATTGGGAGACTTAGATAAACTTACCACAAACCTACTTAATAAAAATATTTAGTGAAAAAAATTTTAAATTTAAATGAAACAATACTTATATTATATTAAAAAAAATTGTTATAGTAAAATTGAATCCGTTCTTTCTTAAAGGGATCTATTATTAAATATATGATGACTCAAATTTTATCAATAATTATTAAAAGTACATCATAAATTATCAAAAGACTAATTACTAAAATTATATTAAGAGATTATCAAAATTTTATCAATGATTACCAAAATTATATCGAAACTTACTAAAATTTTATCAAAAGTTATTAAAATTAAAATTATATAAAAAGTTATCAAATTTTACTTATTTTATATCAAAATCAAAATTAAATTATTATTATTTATCATTATTGTCATAATATAAAAAATTATTTATTAAAATGAATTTTTAGATATAAAATTTATACGTACGCATGTTTAGTTAAACATGTCAGGTTCGACGTTGCAAATAAAGTCAGCCATCTCTTCTCTTCCACCCAATATCTTTCCCCATTATTCGCAAGTCCAAGGCTTGTGTGCTTCTCCATTCCTTGTTCGGGTTGTATGCATGAATGAACAAAGAGGAAACGGGCGAGCTATCATTCTTGCCCCTTGCATGATTTGTCCTATAGGTGAGAAATCTGGTTCGCAAGTCTTCAATTTCTTCATAATTGTCAACGCATCTCCCTCCACCATGATTCTTTGAAACCCCATCTCTGTAGCAACTTTTAAAGCTTTAACAGATGCATTCTCTTCTTCAACCACAAATGGATCGTTCACTCTTTCCATACTAGCAGCATAGGCTCCCATGATTTCACCTTCTGAATTTCGAATGATTACTGCTATTCACACCTGTACTGCCTTATGAAGTCTGCTACATTGGATGACTGTCTTCTTCACTCCCCATGCAACACTCTATTTCTGTCTGTCTATATTGCCCGGCATGTTATTGCCAGTTGCTGGAGCTGTTCTTTGTCTGTTGCCTTTACTATATTCTGGATCCATTCCGCTCCTGTCTCAGCCATGGTATCTTCTCCGTCCCAAATATAATTAAGCTGATGCCAGACCTCTGCAGCTATATTGCACCCTTTCAACGCATGGTACGTTGTCTCGGCCCCTTGACAGCACCTGAAGCATGTTTCTGCCACTGGAATCTGTCTGCATCTGAGGTTTGGCAGCACCGGTAGACATCCACGACACACTTTCCATAAAAACACTCGTATCTTTTTTGGCAAAGCTGCTGCCCAGATTTTTCTCCTATAATTCTGGTAATCCTTTGCATCTTGCTCGATCCTTAGGTGGCCACCCTCACATAGAACTTTGTATCCACTCCACACAGTGTAAACTCCTTTCCTGTCATGATGCCAAACCAGTGTATCCTTCAGCCCTTACTCGCTGGTAGCAAACTAATTGCTGCCACCTCCTCCTCTGAGAACATATTATAAAGCAAGTCCACCTTCCACTGCTTTGTATTTTCATCGATTAGATCTTTTACCAAGCCATCCTCGTTTCATCTCCCTCTAGGTGACTGTGAAATATAAATTCATTTGATAAAGGAGTTGTGATGATATGGTAGAAGAAAAAAAATGATCATAAATCAAATTAAACTTGAAATGTATACATTGAAGTCCGTATAATATAAATTTCATTAAAATGTTATAAAAATCTAATAAAAATTTTTTTTTTTATTATTATTATTATTATTATTATTATTATTATCATATATTTTTAAGGAAAATTCATATTATTAGTTATAATCTGGTTTACAAAAGAAAGTTGAGATTGATCTAATTAAACCCTTGAAATATTATTTTTATTTAATTAAATCTTTATTTATTTAACAACAATAATAAATTAAATCTCAAATCCCATAACTCTGAAATTGATTATATAAAAAATCAAAAAATAATTATGTTAGGTTTGTTACACCACTTTTTTCTGTCCACGACAATTTTTTACATGGCATCCACTTTATTTATTTAACAGATTTCAATAATTTCATGTAAAATAAAATTTTAATTAAACAAAATTAATATTTTAAAAGATAGTTTGGTTCGAACAATTTTGCATTACTGTCCGAAATCTTTGTTTTATTCATGAGATTATCCCATTTGTTTCGAAATTATTCCCCTAACTGGAGAATGTTATATTATCTATAATGAAAAGATTTGGTCAAATCGGGGATCACAAACCCACCCTTTTCTTCGGTTAGGTTACGTTTGGAGAGACAATGTAACATTTTATCTCATTTATGCCCTCATTAAATGAATTTACGAGTTCATTTTACCTTTATAATTAAATCAAATTACAAAAATACCAATCCCAAATTAATTTCACCCCAAATTCCCTTCATTTTATTCACAAATCCTACCCACCCAAAAATTCATGTTTCCTTTTTATTTGAAAACTGTGGCCATCTATACCTCCAACCAGCTCTCTGCCTCCCGCCGTTGGTGCACCTCCGACCAACCATTTGCATTAGCATCGCATGCCACGCGTCTGACATGTCAATGACATGTGGCATGCCACTAGAATTAATGAACATGATATTAATTTTGTTAACATTGTATTTTTTGGTCGAATATATGTCATTCTTTTTATCGGATAGATGTGATTATCGTATTAATTAATAGATTTATAATAAATATATTACATTATAAATTTTTAAAATTAAGTATTAAATTAAATATTTTATTATAATTTAAGAGTTAAATATGATATTGTATTTTATGAAAATATACATAATGTTATTTTAATACATGACTTTAGTTACTTGCTAATAAAAAATGAAAACATTAGTCCATAAGCAACAGTGTGTAGGTTTGTTTCAACTTTATATTGAACTTTTTCTATTTATATTCTATTTTATTAATTGATTAATTTGTTTAATTACTTAATTATGTAATATTTGGTTATAATTGTAACTTGTAATTGCAATCTCATAAAGAAAACAGAAAATTTATTGCTTGCAACAATTTTAATTTTTTTGAAAAAAATATTGTCAAACATGTTTTTTGTTGTTATTTTCAAAAGAAAGTGAAAATAGCAAAAACAAAAATGATGTCAAATTATTCAACCGCCAATCTATCATGAAAATCAATTTGTTTCAAGTATAGTAGGATTAACAAAGAAGAATTTTAATGGCAATTCAATTAAATAACCCCAACAATGAAAATCAATTTGTTTCAAGTATAGTAGAATTAACAAAGAAATTTTTTAAATGCCATATCTGTTTATGGATATTTGCATCTAAGAAAATTTAATACATTAATATATTCAACTATTTATTATACTACTAAAATAAATTGAAAAATGTTTTAATCTTTTTAATTTGTAACCATGTGTAGTATTAGTTCACAAATAAACTTTCAAAATTGAAGGAATAAAAAAGACAAAATAGAAGAACAAATGTAATGTATATTTTTTAAAACCACGAATTTTCATGCAAACTTCATTAATTAATTAAATTATGCTTTGATAAAAATTTGAAACTTACAATTTTATTCCTCAATTAAGTATTAATTTATTTGTTTAACCTAAATCAACAGAAAAATAGATTTCTTAAGCTAAACAAAAAAATATAATGTTGCGGTGTATTGGAAAGAAAAGGCGGATTTATAGAAAAAAGTGGTTTTACATGGTAAAAGCTGTTAGTGTTAAAAATAGAATGTAATTAATGAAAGAAATGGGAAAAAAAAATGAAAGGAAGGGCGCCATGTATGGATCTGGAGCGAAGAATGAGGACGGGAATTTGTGGTGAGCAATGCTTGCGCACAAGGGATTCCCTTGTATAAATGGCATCGCCCAATGGAGTTCGTAGATCAAAGCAGACAAATCTTCCTCCACTTGGGGATCGCAAACACTAATTGATAAGTTAATTTCATTGGAGAGACGGATCTTTTTGAAAAGCAGGTGAAGGGAGAAAAGCCATGGGTGGAGTGATGCTAATATTGTTGTTATGCCTGTGGGCTGGATCGATGCTGGTGGCCCGAGCCGAAGATCCTTACCTTTTTTTCACTTGGAACCTCACCTACGGCACCATCTCTCCCTTGGGAGTTCCCCAGCAAGGCATTCTTATCAACGGTCAGTTCCCCGGGCCCAATATCAACTCTACCAGCAACAACAACATCGTGCTCAATGTCTTCAACAACCTTGATGAGCCATTCCTTTTGACATGGTAAACGACTACGATTCATGAACAGAGAGTTTTTTTATATCTGATTGTTTAACGAAGAATTGAGTTAATTTTACGACAATGAAATTTGTTGCAGGAACGGCGTACAACAAAGGAAGAACTCTTGGCAGGATGGTGTGCTCGGAACCAACTGCCCTATTCTCCCTGGGAAGAATTACACCTATCACTTCCAGGTCAAGGACCAAATTGGCAGCTACATGTATTATCCAGTGACAGCTATGCATAAGGCAGCCGGAGGTTTTGGTGGCCTTCGTATTAACAGCCGTCTACTCATTCCTGTCCCCTACCCTGATCCTGCGGATGACTACACTATCCTTGCGGGAGACTGGTTCAGCAAAGGACACACCACCCTCAAGAAACTGCTGGATGGCGGCCGCAACCTTGGCAGATGTGACGGTGTCCACATTAATGGGAAAGTAGCCAAAGGTGATGGTAAGGATGAACCTCTCTTCACCATGGAGCCTGGCAAGACCTACAAGTATAGGATTTGCAATGTCGGAATCAAGACATCTCTCAACATCAGGTTCCAAGCCCACAACATGAAACTGGTTGAGATGGAGGGCTCTCACACAGTGCAAAATGTGTACGAATCCCTTGATGTTCATGTTGGACAGTGCTTTAGTGTGCTTGTAACGGCCGACCAGGAACCTAAGGATTATTACGTTGTGGCCTCTACCCGATTTACCAGACGATTGGTTACATCCACCGGCATCATCCGCTACACCAATGGCAAGGGACCGGCCTCACCTGAGCTGCCTCCACCACCTGTTGGTTGGGCTTGGTCACTCAACCAATTCCGTACCTTCCGTTGGAACCTCACTGCTAGCGCTGCCAGGCCTAATCCTCAAGGCTCCTACCATTATGGTTCCATTAACATTACCCGTACCATCAAGCTAGCTAACACCGCCGGAAAGGTAGATGGCAAGCTTCGATATGCCATTAACGGAGTCTCCTATGTCGACCCACCCACTCCATTGAAACTTGCCGAATACTATAACGTCGCCGACAAGGTTTTCAAGTATGATAATATTGCGGACGATCCGCCAGCTACAATCTCAGAAATCACTCTAAACCCTATTGTCCTTAACTTGACCCACCGAACCTTCATCGAGATCATCTTTGAGAACCGTGAGACCGCCATTCAGTCTTGGCACTTGTCCGGCTATTCATTCTTTGCTGTGGCGTAAGTTTTGGCACTTTGCTCTTGTAACTAATAGTGTACTTTCTAACATGCATTCAGTCATTTGGTTTCTTTCAAAGTTTAATATACTATGTTTTGCACTTATTGCTTGTAGCATCGAGGCTGGGACTTGGACTCCTGATAAGAGGAAGAACTACAATCTTCTTGACGCCGTGAGCAGGCACACGATTCAGGTCTTTCCAAAGTCCTGGGCTGCAATCCTTTTGACTTTTGATAACTGCGGAATGTGGAACATCAGGTCCGAGATATGGGACAGGCACTACCTTGGACAGCAGCTCTATGTGAGCGTTCTCTCCCCTGCGCGCTCCCTCAGGGACGAGTACAACATTCCGGATAACTTACTGCTTTGCGGCATCGTGGAGAGCATGCCTAAGCCTCCACCATACAGCATGTAATTAGGCCGTCGTTAATCAGTATTCATATTCCAATTCCACTTTAAATACATAGGGAGTGAGAGGGGGAGAGCTACCTTGAGATCCAAGTGTTTTTCTTTTCTTTTTTTTTTTTTTTTCTAATACTGATTGTGCGCAATTAATTTCCTGGGCTGATTATTCAACAAAATGGTGAAGAATAAGAAGGATCGGAACTTGGAACATGTATGTTTCCATCCTTCCAAAGTGCTGCCATTACATTATTTTATCTTTTAATTTTTATATAAAATGTTTATTTGTCCCTACGATTATTCTTTCCTTGTCGATGATAATCGATATATAAACCAATTTGTAAAAGGTAGTCATGTTATGAATTCTACTACTAATTCATAATTTTTATTAGAATTGCCAAATTCTCAACCTAATATCTCAGGTTAAACTTATCAATAAGAAGTTAAAATTTAAAATTTAGAGTAAAAATTATTCAAGCACATACTTAATCAAGTAATTTTCTATCTCGCTTCAAAATTATGTGGATTTTTATTTTATTCTACTTTTAAAGTGTAATTTTCTTAACAATTCAAATAATTTAAAATACTAAGATTTATTACATTAATTTTAATTTGCATACCTTAACTACTCTAATGTTAGGATTCCTAACTTGTTTAAAAAAATTAATCTTGAAATTTAAACTTTTTAACACATTACAGCACCATAAACATCATTATACTCAGCTTAAATGATAAAACTTTGTGAAGTTAGTTATCCCAAACCTAACATCTTGGTTTTATCCTTACTATTCATGAACTGCTTCTTAATCCTCTTGTAATATCTTTTTCGGTTTACAAGATTTGGGAATGAGGGAGAGGATGGTTTTGTTCCAACCTAAGTCTTCGTGCCTTCTTTAACGCTTCTTTGCCATTACATCAAAAAGTCGAAGGCGTTGTCTACAAATGTTTTCACTAATAATACCAAGATTAAGAAAATTTAAGAGAAAGCTCCTACGAGTATAATTAGAATTCTCACAAATTAAGTTAATTTAGAAGAACTGCACTTGTTCTTCACATGTAACATCACCTACGGCAGCATCTCTCCTCAGCAAGGCATTCACACAAATGGTCAATTCGCAGGACCCAATGTCAATTCCACAACCGACAATAATAATATTGTGGTCAATGTTTTCAATAACCTTGATGAGCCCTTCCATTTTGTAAGGAAATGTCTTGAATCCTTTAATCTCACATTAAAAATTGAATAAATTTATAAAAATTGAGAGTTCATCTTATTTTATATCGAAAGTTTAGTAAAATTATAAGAGATTTATATTTTATAAATAAAATGCTTTGGTTTTAATTTGATAATTTTAAATAGTTAGACATAAAAAAAAATGTGAGTAGGTTATTAAAAAGATGTATTAGATTTTGGATTAAATTTTAAGTAAAAAATTTTTTTGTGATTTTTCTAATTTCAAAAGTCTTATAGTTATAAAGATTTCTTTATTAATAAATTGGATTTAGAATATATTATTTTGAATTGGATCAAAATAAATATATTTATGTATTTTTATTTTTTATTTGAGTTTATTATTTTATAGGTATAAATGTTGCATGTGCATATTTATTTTTCATATAATATATATATATATATATATATGTATATGCTTATGGAATGTGAAGTACTTACTACATGTATAGTGTTTTGATTTGAGTTATTCCCTTTTAAACGCATAGCAGGATGGAGTGTTTGAAACCATGCACTTGTCCATTCAGACGGGAGCCACACATACCACTTCCAGGTCAAGGACCAGATTGGTAGCTAGCTAGCCTACATCTACTAAACCACCACAGCTTTTCACAGGGCAGCTGGAGCTTTTGGTGGTCTTCCAGTGAAAACCCGTCTCCTGATTCCAGTCCCCTATGCCGATCCGGCCGATGACTACACTGTCCTCATAGGCGACTGGTATTCCAAGAGCCACACCACTATGGAGAGAGCGTATTGCCTTTTTCTTTTAGTGTACTTGCTTTTTTGATTTGTTCTCTGCGTTTCATCCTATCATAATACATGTTTAAAATATCTTTAAGATTGTTGCAGAACTTGCTGACGATAAGCCATTGTCTCTCGAGCCTTTTATTTTGTCCAATCTTTATTTGGGTAACTTGTTTCTAATTGAATTGTTTCAACAAGAAAAGATTCACCCAGCCCTTGTACCCCTACAAAATTCGTCATTGAATTTTAATCAAAATTCTATTTGGGTCATTAAATTTTAACTTATCTGAACTTTTTAAATTATACTAAATTAAACCACCATAGCATGTTTCATTCAAAAAATTAAGCCACACAAGCTGCTATATCGATATTTTTAGACAAAAAATAAAAAGAAATAAAGTTCACGAAAAGAGCTCTTGCCTAGCTCTAAATCATCAATATTCTTAATGCTTAATACTTACCCTAATACATAAATACAGCCATAACCCCGATAATTCCTTGCTATGATACTTATGTTTAGGCAACACCAGCTTAAAAGTTTATTCTGAAGAGCTATATATATAGATATATAATTTTGTTTTTTTTTTTTTTTGGTAAAAGTAGATCATATTTTATGACCATATGTGTTGAAAGTTAAAAACCATATTTTAAAAAGAAGTTCAATAACTTTCAGCTTCTAAATGAACGGGTTCTTGAAACATCAAACATGAACACAATTTTTATGTTTCTTAAGTCTCTAGAAAAATCAAACAGTGAACACAATTTCTGGACAATCATGGGTAATGTTCCAGCATGAAGAGAAGTAGTTGGCAAATACAAGGGAAAATAAGCTTATGTTTAGAATTTAAAGGTAACATTTTGCTTAATACCTGTCCTGTTACTTGCTTCAACATCTTACAAACAACAACCTCAAAACATAACTTAATAGGCAATGCTTTACTCCCACGATCCAACCAATCCGCGCATTCCCACTTTCATTTCTTTGAAAAAAAGCAGCCAAGTAGCCATCCCATAAAATTCCCTTTATCCTTCCAATCTCAAAAGTTGATCTAGGACTGCAGTTTTTGGGTTTTTAGATTTTGTTATTTTCTTTATAATGGAAGATGTTATTCTTAAACCTAAACAGATTAACGGATTTAGTCAAGTGAAAGGAGGAGAAAAGCAGGATCTGGGTGGTTACCGCTGGCCAAATTTGTGGCCGACATTCATCGGAATCTAGGTTTCAGATATAGCTGGCCATGGTCCCACAGGCCGTGTGGTCAAACTAAAAAATGTTTATACTATTAAAATACTATTATTTTATATTGAAAAATATTTATTATTAAATCATAAAAATATTATTTACTTGTATTTATTTTTAAAATAGTAGTATAAATATGTTATTAAAATATTAAAAATAATATATTTTAAAATTAAAAATATTAAGAAATTATTAAAAAATTTCAAATTATTAAAAACTTATTATTAAAATAATAATATTTTTATATTAAATAATACTCAAACAAAATACTGTTTACTATATTCATATTTATTATTTATTATTAAAATACTTATTATTAAATTTATTATTTAAATATTAAAAAATTTATGTGTAGTAATATTTAAAATTAAAATATTAACGGACTCTATATTAATAGTTTAATATTTCAATATATTTTTAAATTAATATATTAATAAAAATATTAGTTAAAATTAAGAAAAATGTTTTGTTAATATAACAATATTATCAATCGGGTCAAGTTAAATCTAAACCTAAGAAAATATATCCAAAGTCCACTTCGCGTTAAATATACGGTAATAGGCTGGACCTCGTCCTTGACTAAATTTTTTTTTGTCAAATTATAATATTAGTCTTTGTATTTATATAAAATTTAAACTTTAGCTCCCACAAAATAATTTATTAAAATTAGATCTCGGTCTAAGTTAATAATATTAGTCCAATTACTCATATCAATACTTTATCTCTATTAAATAATTGATGTGACTATTAATCATACTAATGTGATCATTGATTATATTAATGTGATAATTAAAATTGATAAAATTAATTGTCAAATTATAAAAGTAATTTTTATATTCGTACTAAATTGGAAATTTATTTTTTATATTCATATGAAATTTAAAATTTAGTTTGTATTCTCATATAAAATTTAAAATTTAATCTCTTTAATATAAAAAAATATTTTTATTTTTTATTTTTTAAAAATATTAAATTTTAGAAATATTTTAGTTCCTCTAATATATTAGTTTTTATTATATATAATTAATTATTAATAATATTATATTAATAATATTATTATCATTTATATTAATCAATTATAATATTAATAATTTAAATTAATATATCAAAGTTAATATTGTTTTAAATAGTATAAATATATCATAATGAGAACTTTCAATTTTTTTCATAAAAAAAATTTTATTTAAATAATTAGTTTGAATCTAATTTAATAATCTTTTAACAAGACTAATAATATGAAATTAATATAGTAAAAATATATTACAATAACTACAAATTTATTAAAAATAATATAACTAAAATTTATATAATTTATAACTAAACACATCAAATATTTGCTAAAACTAATTTTTAAAATAATTTTAAAAAATTCTTAATTTGAAAATTTTCACATTTTGTAAACATTTGATTTATTTTGAGCAACAAAATCTCTAACATTTCACAATTTTCAGTGACAAAAGAAAGCATGAATTTAAAGTAGAAATGTAATACTACAACTTAAAATTTTATTTCCGTAAAAATGATATTCAAAAGTCTAAGTTTCATAAAAAACAATACAAATTGATTTAAATTTATTTGTGATGATTTGTAAAGTTTTGACCTTAAATATCAAAATACTTTTTTCGCTCTTCTATATTTAAATAGAGTTTCATAAATACCTCTAATTTAAGATTTTTTAAATTGTCCTTATAAAAATCAAGATAATACTTTGCATAAATAATAACTGTTAAAAATCTCCTTATATTTAGGTCAGATCTCAAAGGCTATATTTATTTGAAATATTATCTTATTTTTTAAATGTTTTTTCTTCAAAACCCTATTTATAAAAATATATGCATGATATGCATCAACATAATAATAATAATATAAATGCATGATAATTCAAGAATGCATAAAATAACAAAGTAAAATGAGATGCAAATGCATTAATGGAATCATGGGTCTAGAATAGGATTTAAGGTTAAGACTTATGGTTGATTTAGGTTTTAGAATTGGTTTAGGGTCTAGGTTAAGGTTTTAAGGTTTTTGAATTGGTTTAGGATCTAGGTTAAGGTTTAGGATTTATGTTTTAGAGTTTAAGGTTAGGATTTGGTTAAGGTGTAGGGTTTAGGTTTAGATTTGGGGTTTAGAGTTTGGTTTAAAGTTTGGTTCAGGATTTAGGATTTAGATTTTAGGCTTAAAGTTTAGGTTTAGAGTTTGGGTTTTGGTTTAAGAATTAGGATTTAGTTTGGGTTTGGAGTTTAAGCTTAAGGTTTAAGTTTTAGGTGTAAATTTTATGTTTAAAGTTTAGGTTTTAGTTTAAGGTTTACAGTTAGGTTTGAGGTTTAGAATTGGGATTTCGGGTTGGGGTTTGGATGGAAAGTGCATGTGACAAAAATAACAAGAATGTCATTAACAAAAATACAATCTTTAATGCATAAAAAATACATATTAATATCATAAAATTAATACAATAAAATATATTAAAATAAGTAAAATTTTATTAAAAATAATATAACTAAAATTTATATAATTTATAACTAAAGACATCAAATATTTACTAAAAATAATTTTTAAAATTATTAAAAATTTTTTGCTTAATTCTAAAATTTTTACATTTTGTGAGCATTTAGCTTACTTTAAGCCACAAAATCTCTAATATTTCACAATTACTAATGATAAAGGAAAGCAAGAATTTTAAAGTATAAATGTAATATTACAATTTAGAATTTTGTTTCATCAAAAATGATTTTCAAAAGTCTAAATTTTGAAAGCGAAAATTTTACTGAACATCACAAATAGCATAAATGATAATAATATTATTAATATGATATTATTAATAATTAATTATATATAATAAATCTTAATATATTAAAGGAACTAAAATATTTTTAAAATTTAATATTTTGAAAAAACTAAAAAAATTTAAAATATTTTTTATATTAGAAGAATTAAATTTCAAATTTCATGCAAGTAAAAATATTAAATTTTAAATTGTGCGAATATATGAACTAAATTTTAAATTTCGTATGAGCATATGAATCATTTTTATAATTTAATAACTAATTTTATCAATCTTAATTATTACTTCAACAAGTCAATACTACATCAATATAATCAATGTCCACATCAATTATTTAATAGAGATAAAGCAACGATGTCATCAATTAAACCAACATTGTTCAATTAGATTAATATGAGGATTTAATTTCAATGAATTATGTTATAAAAATTTAAATTTAAATTTAAGATAAGTACAAGAATTACTTGTATAATTTTAACCTCTTTTTTTTTAAATTGTTTTTCCTTTTAAATAAGAAAAAGATAATATCTAAAATAATATCATATTTTTTAATAAATCATTTTCATTAACCAATGGATTTTTTACCAAACAAATATTAAAAAATACAAAAATCATTTTGGGAAAGTCAATTTCCATTAAACAAATGTAACCTTCGGTTTTGCAATCCGCTGACAAAGTAGAACACAATACTTGACAACAGTGAAAAACCCACCATGCAACAATTCCAAGCAATATTTGTTTAAAATTGAAATTAATACATCCCATCAGTGCTTGCTTCTAAGACAGGAAAAAAAAAGAAAAAAAAGAAAAAAAAAAAAACCCCACACACATGAAATAAGCATTATTGAGAAGGTAACGAGGAAGTCACACTATCAAACTGACAAATTACATTTATCCAATTGTAATCTGTTATTCCCATGAAACTAAGATTCACAAGTATCTCCGATGTTTCTCTGTTGATTAAACATATAAAATCAGATTATTTTCAGGCTTGAATGAGAGCAGAAGGGATGAAAAGAGCACAATTGCACCTCTTATCAAACAACTATTAGAGGCTTTGGAGGAGCAAACTTGACAGAATCAGAATTATTTATTTATTTCACCATGTTCCACTGGCATTCACCTTGGAGGTGGATCCACCGTTCGAACATTTCCAGCAGTCATTCCTTCAATGCGATCCTTTGTAATCTCCACAAAATGACCCACTATTTCGTGGAATTGCTTCAATCCTGACAATGGGAGAATGATGGAAGACCGATCAGAACCTGCAACCTGCAATTGTTGAACCATCCTATTATCAACCTAGTCCATGCCTACACCTAAATTCTATTTATTAATATACTTATATGAAAGAAAAAGAAAGAGAGTACTTCAGATATTCTCAAGAAATGTCCTCTGTTGTTGCTCCCAAGATCAAAGAAAAATCTCTTCTGATCAGCTCTGATCACCTTTGAAACCCCCATGTTACCAAGTTCATCCTGTGCAGGCAATTCAACTGATCTGTCTACTTTCAATTCAGAAGTTGAGGTAGGCTGGCTGTGTCCAGATATGAAGCCAGCCCCAACATCATCTGAAAGCCCAACAATACGTTCTGAAGGTTCAGAACTTTGCTGTTTCAGAAAACCCATATACACACAAAAACAACCAGATTGACAAATTAAATGTGATTATATGAAAAAAAAAAAATGGAACTGATATATGACAGCAGAGAAACTGGAAAGAAAGGAGCATAGGAATGTAGCCCAAAGATACCTGATTGGGCAAAATGAAGAGCCTTGATGCCTCATTGATCTCTGCCAATATGTTCCTAAATGCTGCCCACCCTTCATCCCCAGTACTCCCTGCAGGCACAATAATGGTGCTGCGGTTCCTGCTGACAGATGCTTCAGATACCTTCACATATAATTTCATTAGAGAAACATTTTTTGAAAATGAACTCTAACTGACTTTTCGCCTCTTCCAAACAATTCAGAGTTAATTCATAGAATCAAAGACAATATACAAACACTACTTGCAAAAAAAGAAATCAAAGCCACTAAATGCTTGCAAACAGCATTTATGCTTCATTCCATAAATAATAGCTCCAAATAGTCAAATTCTTTTTATCATGCTTCTGCTCACAAGCATGCATTCATGTTTGCGACTGTATTTGCATATGTTCAAATGTATATCTATATCCTAGCATTATTCCAAAGAAAATACAATAGCCACCAGATTTTACAAAATTTCCACAATAATTTATGAGAATGATTTGATAGCTCTTTAGTTCAAATTTCTTCTCTCTTTCATGAACTTTGCAGGTTATTTATTTATTTTGTCCACAACTTATAAACATTCAAGTTCCGAAATGAGAAACCTATGTTGCTTCCGCTCTTCGTTAACACTCACAGTCAAGTCACAATAACACAGGCAGAAACAGCCTCCACAGTCTGCAAAGTGAGACCAAGGCTGTTCTCTTATCAAACATATTAAAACTATCAGCAACCAATCATAGCAAAGTGATATTCATAACAATCTAATACAACAACCTTATCTACTTAACAATCTAACCTGCTGAAATAAACTTGGATGACTTTACCAACACTCAACCTGGACATTTACCTCTTTTTTTTTTTTTTTTGAAGAAACCTGGACATTTGCTTAAACACAGTCCTCATTAACTCTAGTTTCCCACTATTGGCATTTCGCCACTTGTTGACCAAATAAAAAGTTATGAGATTAACAGAAATTTCTCCCCACAAACCTTAAGTACATATTAGACATCTTCTTCATCGGTTTTCTCTTTTATTTTGTTCATTTCTTCCCTTGAAGAGGCAATTCAAAGATAAGGGATAAAGAGAATATACTTTTTCATCAACATGATTAAAGCTATATTCAACTTTTGTCTTGGCTTCCCATGGGAAGTTGTCAAAGATGAGCATCACAGAATCTCAAGATTGCAGCAAGTTCCTCAAAGTTGGTAAACACACATTGCAAGGCAAGGAATCAGCGACATGTTGCAGTGATAACAGTAGATAATTCCCACATGCAATTTGGATATATGATGTCTCTTAAATTTTTCAGACACCTGCAAATCTAGATATGAAGCATCTTTTGCTATACAATCACAATTATTGAATTGATTTTATTAAAACTTTTATCATATGGAATCTAGATTTCTTGTTTTTAATTGTTTCCATGGCATAGATTCCCAAATTGGGTGCCAAAAGGGTGCCAATTCTTTAGGAGTTTCCAAGTATAGTTTTTGGCATATAATAAACATATTCTAATGTTAATCACTTTCATGTCTTATAAAAAATGATGCTTACTCTTACTTTTGGAGAGCCAGATCATGAACCTTTCTGTTTTCACAAGTTGTTATAGTTTAGTCATGTAATAGCCGCTTTACTTCCATTCTGCAACAGTTGGTATCAAAATGAGTACAAGGAGATATACTAGTTGGTTAGTTGATTATAAAATTCATATCCAGTACAAGAAGATTCGTAAAATGAATTGCATTTTACAAACTTAACAACTTGGTAGAATAATTGACAAAGTATAGGGCGCAACAAGGGAAGACAAAATTCATCTTTGGCAAGATTCAGAGATTGTCGGCTACAGAATATTTCCACTATCAAAGAATATTGTTTAGAGTAGAGAAGAGGATTACTACTTAGTTTAAAAATTATGTGGGGATTCTATTGTCATCTAGATTCAAGGTTAAGAGAACAGAAAACCTGCTGTAAGTTCTAATTAAGATTGGCAGAAAAAATATGCTAAGTATAGTTTGTCCTCAACCAGTTGGTTACAATTATCATTGTAAAAGTTGTTTCTCATGCAGCAGAAGGGAAAAAGAAAAGCAACAGATAGGAAGAAATTTAACAGATTCAAAGAGAAAACATGTTAAGTATAATTTGTCCCCAAATTCATTGCTTGCAATTCCATAATTGAAAAAGTTCTGTTTTATGAGTCAGTTGTCCCTTTTGTTTGACATTTGGATCCTTTCTGAATCAGTTGAGTCTTCTATGAGTCTATTTGGATTCATTTTAGGTTTTTTTTTTTTAAACCATTTTTTAAATTTTAGGTTAAAGGAAGGGAATTTGCATCTGAGGCTGTTTGATGGCAAGTGAATCCACTGTTCATCCTTTAATATTTCAGGGGCTGTCCAAGTCCATGGTTTTGCCAGCAATAATTTCAGTTTTTTAACTGTCTCCTTTATCAGCAAATACATATAAAAGCAACCTGTTTTGGCTTAAAAACAACTAAAGTTTGTGGTTGGTTTTTTTAGAAGTTTTCCTATAATGCTGGGGCTTAAGAACCAATTTCTCTCTAGAAAAGGGCAACCAGAAAATAACAACACATGATGTGCGAAAATATTATTTTAGAAAAATTAACCGGAAAAAGATAATCCTGATTGTCTAAGGCTCAACCAATTAATAATGACTATGAGAAGTTCACATCAAGGCAAGTTAGATGAAGATCAATTTGAAGAGATGGACAGCGATTTATAGTTATCCTCTGATATGAAATTAGACCACACTGAAGACAATTCTGCTTTTGAGGTATCTTGAACATGGTTAGATGAAATGTGGAGAATCAACATTTTTCCACCCTTATTAAGTTGTTATCAAGAGGTGCCATGCTAGTGCTCTTCGACCAACTCAATTCTGCCAAAAGTATACTTAAGCAATCCAAATATATGACAGAGGTCAACAGCAACAAACCTGATGTGCCTCAAAACAAGCTGGCCCAGATCCCAAACCAATTACCATCAACTAGCTAATGTGGCACAAGTTGACCCACAAAGACCTATTCAGAACCCAACATAACATAGAAAGAATTGACTTGAAGGCAACAACATGAACTTTACCAACCTAAAACCTGAAATGAACTAAGAATTCAAAACCAAAAATGCCTAAATCCAAACCTAACCCAATTCATCCAATGGCAACCTTAAATTAAAGGTAAAACTAGCAGAGTTTTAGAATGAAAAATAAAACTTAGAAGAGAAAATCTCAAATTTTAAGCAATAATCAACAAGATACACGTTGATTAAAGACGTAAGGTTCAAGCAGCCAAAGATAATTTTTTGTTCCTGTGACATTTTTTGTTTTTTGCCATGAAGCAGCCACAGTAATGCAAAGGAACTACAAACCAAAACCAGAGAGCTAGAAACTAGACATTTGGAGCATCAATGCAGCATTGTGATTCTCTGAAATAAAGTCATTAATGCTATCAAGAAAGTCCGAGACAATCAAGCACTAAAGATCAGGCTTTGTAGCCAAGAAATATTTAATTGGAGGAGCTAATATCATTCTTATGGAAGGAAAATCCTGAGATGCAACAAGCATTTCAAGAAGCTGATCCAAGGTTCAAGCAACCACATTTAATATGGAGAAAATATAAACCAAAATCATGGTGCTTAAAAATAGATATTAGGAGCTTCAAAGAAGCATTTTTGTTGCTTAGAAATAAAAGCATCAATTGGTGATGGAAGGCTGACAGAATCGAACATGACATTTCAGATAAGAAATATTGAACTGAAGGAGCTGATATCATTCTCATACATGAACATTCAGAGTTACAACAAACCTTTAAATTGAAGGTATGAAAGAGAAGCCTCATTAGCAACAAATGAGGTAGCTCTCATGCAAAAGGCAATTAGCAATTTCAAAGTCAGGAGTGTTAAAATAGACTCATCTCAACTAAAAGGCTTAGCACTATAAAACTTACTAATGAATAGGTATGCTCATGGGTCTAGTTCAAACATGAGCGAAGTTTCTAGAGTCTGCTTTCAATGTGTTAGAGATGTGCAATTAAATGTTGGGTGCCAATTTCCTCCACAACCATCTTTCAGCTAGTCATTCTAATCAAGTCAAATTTCCTAGTTCATGGTTTAGCCCTTCTCTGGCACCAGTTAGTCCATCAAGCTCTTGTTCGTGTAACCACTTTTCTAGCCAAGAAGAACAAGAATCGATTTTAAGAAAGGCCACAATTACTCTTCAATTACTTAAGAAGAAACCATAGCAGCAGCAACTGTGTTGATGAATGACAACAGATATTATTCACCACTCTAAATTCTAAGAAGGTTAGGTCTCTTGATAGCCGCAATTATCTGTATTTACAATTGCTGGTTCAAAGTGCTACAAAGCTAAGGCTTAGTTCTAATACCATCATAGATAAGAATGTGATTCTCCAGCATTATCCAATTCAACAAGAGAGCGGAGCCCCAAAACCAATTCTACTAAAACTCGACAGCATATATAGGAAAGAGAAGATTGAAGCAAAATTTAAAAAAAAAAAATCTTAACATCAAAAGAGAAAACAACATGTGGAATTTGAGTCAAGCAAAGAAAAGAGAAATAGACGTGGGTGAGTGAATGTAGTAGTAGTAGTAGTAGTAGTAAGAGCGTACCTTCAAAAAACGACCCCTGCGATTCTCGCCGATGTCAAAGTAAAAGACTTTAGTGTCGAGCTGCAATTCCTTACTGAAGAGATCGTGGTCGTCGGAGTTGACGTAGTAATTGAAAAGATCAAGGAACCAGGAAATGCCAGAGGAAGGGACGATGATGGTGGACCTGGTAGCCGATGTCTTTTCGGAGATTTTCAGGTAACGCCCGCGTGGGTTCTCCTTGAGATCGAAGTAGAACAGCTTGTGTTCAACCTGAAGTGTTTTGCAAACCAGCTCCACGTCGTTTCCTCCTCTGTCTGCTACGCCGCCTCCTCCTCCTCCTGAATTCCCTTCCATTTTATTTCGGTTTTCACCAGGTGGAAAAAAAAAAAAAAACACTAGTAAAAGCCTATCAACAGGCTCCAACGTGGGACTAACAGCTGCTACCACCTAACAATAGTAGCTAGATCTGAATACTGATGAACAACTGAAAAGCACAATCTTAATTAATCGATTTTGTAGGAGTAGGAGTTTCGATTACATATTACTTACTAGTAGCAGCGAGGGGTTTTGATTAAGTTGTTAGGGTTTGGACTTGGACCTTGGAACCATATTATATCATTGTCAATCCTATTTTTTATTGATCATAATGATGATAGGGAAATTTGACCAAGCACTAGTTGGGAGTACCATTTCTCCCGTGCTCGTGCACTTATTACCCTTTTTTTTTTTTTTCTTGAAAAGCAGTTTTAAACCTCTAGTAACTCTTTTTTTTTTTTTTTTTAATTTCCAAATCTTTAATAACCCTAAATATAATAAAGTATATATTGGGGAAAGAAAACCTCAATTTCCATCCTCACACTTCACTCTATATTAACTATTTTATTTTGGGGTAAAAAAACTATTTTATTTAAATAATAAATACACTCGTCTAAATATTAACTGCTTTTATTATATGTTAGCTTGTTACCCTTAAGCCGCTTTTTTTATCACCGGTTAAAGTACACGACGCCTTAGTTCAGTTTTTACTCATCATTTCCATAAAAATGCATACTCCAAATCTTTCACATGGGGTGGTAAAATATTTTGTATTGGATGGATTTTAATTTATCTCAATATGATAAGAATGGATTTTTTTTTTTTTTAAACAGGAGATCAGGTCGGAGGTTGATTAGGTTTTTATCCGAGTATATAAAAAATATATTTTTTATTATTTATTTAATTTTATATTTAATATATATTATATTAATAAAATTATTATTTAAAATTTAAATTAAAAATATTAATTTAAGAAAAATATTATATTTATGTATAATTAAAATATAATTTATATTAAAAATAATATTTTATAAATATTAAACTAAATTAAAAATATTAAATTAATTTTTGATTGGATCAAAATTGAGTATAAAAAATATATTTTAATATCAAATTTCGATTAGAGTTGAATATAAATATTAAAAGATTAAACTAATATTAAGATAAATAAAAATTCATCTCAATGTGATCTATTATCATTTCTACTTTCACATTGACATTTCATAAAATGGAAACTTATCCAAATGGAAAACTCATTTTATTTAATTAAATTCGAACTCCATTCAATCTTATTTACTTAAAAAAAATTAACAACTTGAATTTGTTCAATTTAAATCCACAATAATTTGAATTTAATTAATTCAAATCCAAAATAACTTGAATCTAATAAATGAATCAAAATTTTTAATTTGGGGAGCCAAAGCCTTTTATTTAATTTTTTGAGATAAAATTATAATTTTTCTACTTGTTTAAACTTATAAAAAATTAAAGTTTATGTAAATATTAAAAAGTTTTAAAATTTGGGAGTGGTCACCTCTTAATTCTTTTCATGCTTGAAATTGAATTATACAAAATTAAATTGATTTGATTTTTAAAATTAATAATTTAAATATGAATTATCCAGATGTGATTACTCAAATTCAAATAATATGGTTGTCAAAATTTAAAAGAACCTAGACTTAACAAAATTAAAATTTTAAAAACAACTCGTCTAATTGCAACATCTAGCATCACAGCGTGTTTCTTTTTCTCCTACTATTGACAACGAATAAATGCTCTTTTTGTTATTCACTAGGTAGAAGCTCTCATTTTGCAACAGGGAGTACAATAAAGTTGTATTGGGTCCAGTGGCGTAGCTCCATGCAAAATAAGCGGTCAATTGACCCCACTTAATTCTCCAAAATCTTAATTTAGCATTTGTGTTTTGGTAAATTTTTCTGTAATTTACTTATATGTACCTCACTAAAATTTAAAAAAAAAAAATCTAAGAAAAGGATTAAAAATTTTTCTTACAATGTCTTATATTTATATTCTATTATATATATGGTCATAAATTTTTTATTCGATACAATTTGATCATTAATAAGAATATTCGATTAAAATGTAAAATGTGACATATTTTGAACTATATTATCATATAGATTAATCTTTGAATTTTACTTATTTAAAAATATTATTTACTTGTTAATGAAATCTTATCTCAATTATTAAAAGAAGCCTTCAAACTTTTAAGTTTGTATGCTTAAGTTTCATCAAGTGTGAGTTTGGTCCAAAATTACATATTGATTGGTTGGTTGTTAATTTCGTTTGCTTATTGGTTTCTCTTTTTAATATATATAATTATAATTTCTTCAAATAGATATAATTTCATAAAAAGTTTTGTTTACTTTCTAGACTCGTCATTTGTCTTCTTCTTTTAAAAGAAAACGATAAATAATAACAGTGTGAGAATGAAATGAAACTAAATTTAACTCATTAACTTTTTAATGAAAATGTACTCTTTAGTTTCATAAACTTAAAACTTTCGAATTTAACATAATTTTTTTAATAATATAATGTATATAATATCATGTTTATATAATTAAAGTTGAAATATGATTCCATTGAAAATTTTTTCTACCTACGCCCCTGTATTAAGCATACGTAAAGGTTTAGACATTAAACAATAACGAGAAGAAAAGAGTAATATATATCGATTGATACAGTTGGAAGTGTTTGAATATTTACATTGGTTGATGTCAATGATAATGATATATCAAACTAATTCATTGAAGAATAGTTTATTTCTCATCATGATAGAGCAGAAAAACTAGTTGCAGTTGTTGTAGAAACTAATTGTGATCTCTCAAAGGAAAGCTACATAAGTTTGCTTAAGTTGTAATATGTTAGCTTTCCATTAGCATCTTAAGACAGACAAAGCACCTAACAAACCGACACAAAAAGAAAGAAAATTTCCAACTAACATAAGGAAAAATAGCAAATAACTAAAGACAAAGGAGAAATCTATTAGTTTAAAACACCAATTGTTTCAAAAAGAATCGTTGGTGTTAAATTATTTCCTTAGAAGCATAGGCAAAAGTCTGTAGCTTGTTGAGTTAGGGTTGTAACACATGCTCAACTTTGCATTTTCTCTTTCCCTCTGCACAAACCAATTAGAAGTCATGTTGAGAAATTGTAGAATCCTTTTGTTGTCTCATCCTATTCGACTTAAGTGTATTTAACTTCCTAAGCCTACTCATAGTCCATTAACTCCTTAGATCCAACAAAAACAAGACTTCATAAAGCCGTAAACCAGTAAATTGAGTTCTTGTTAATTTTGTAAGTCTATTTTGCTAAGAAATGTTTTGACTCACCGTTTAACTCAAACTTAAATCCTTTTTTAAACAGCTAACACTAAAGCTAGCCTGAAAACATGCAAAGCAAAATACCATAAAATTGAATGAAACAGCAAACTTCAAAAACAACTTGATTTATCAATTGAATTTAACTTTTAATAAATTTTACAAACTCAAAGAAATTAACGTCCAATCACCTCATGTATCGGAAGAACTTAACGTTTAAAGAATTTGGATTAAATGACACATTAATCATTAATTACAACAGTAAGAATAATACCAACAGCTTTTTATTAACTAGAAAGGACAAAAGAGCTTATATAAAAAGTAAAAAAAATCCACATAGAAGGACCAAAGTTAATTAAAGAATTTTCATACCTCAACCTAAATCTTTTGCACTGGGATTCTTCAACAAGTGATTGGTGCTGAACTTTAAACCAACAACTTGCTGTCAATTACAAATTACCAAAAAATTCATCTTAAAAAGCAACCATGGAAGCTGAACATAAAGACTTAAAAATAGAATTTCAAAGCCAAAAAACAAAAAATTAAAACATTAAAGATCAAGCCATGAAAAAGATTGAATAACCAATAATTCTTATTAAAAAAACATGCAACCTCAAGTTTAACATTCAAATCTCAATTTGAAAATGAAACAAATCACATTAACACAACTATCTCTCAAATAAATTCAAACATAAGTCAACCATAATTAAGAACATACAAAAAACTAAAACCAGACTCAAAACCAACAGTAATGTTTTTAGAAAACAAAAATTCATTGCCAAAAACCGGCAACTTGCTACTTTTTCTCTACACTTCCTTTCGTCTTTGCTACAATACTTTTCCTTGCCCATGATTTAGTTATATATTTTATTACTAATGCAAATAAGTTAATTAATTAGAAAGTTTAGCCGTCACATTCTCATGGGGTTTAACCATTGTGAAACCTTTTACGTTAACCTGGTTTTTATTAGCTCAAGAAACATTGATTTAGCTACTCCAAACCAAAAATAAATTTTTTTTTCAGAGACAATAATACATATTTTTGAAACTTGTTAGCAACCCAATGTTTCTAATTAATTATTGAGTTCCTTAGGATTGATTTTCTATCTCTCGAGAGAGTTGTATAGAGATAGATTCTCTTTACAATCACTTCTCTCTCTACCTGTCACTCACACTTATTCACCCAACAAATTCATTGTTAGCCTTGAATTGATCCTTATTTTAAAATGACAAAACATTAAAGCTAAAGAAACTTGATCAAAATTTTGAAAAAAAGATTTATTTAGTACATGTTCTTAAGTTTTATATTTTGATACTAAATAAATAATATGATTTTCAAAACTTAAACAAACCTTTCTTTGTTTTCATATTTCTCAAACCAAATCTATCTTTAAAGATTATTTATTTGAGCCTAAATGAAAGTCCAATTGTTGTTTTTAAAGTGAATTTATTCATTTTGGACTTAATACAATTTTGATAATATTGGTTTTGAGAAATAGATTAACTTAAAAAGGTTGTTTTACAATAACAAAGTTTTCCAACATTGAAGTTGTTTTATTTTTCTGTATTAATTCACAAAGTCTTAATATTTAAATTTTATATGGTTGGAAAGCTCTTTGAGTCTACTTTCTAATGGATCAAACAAAATCAAAATCCAAATTTTCTAAGAAAAGATTTTGAATTTTTACTAGACACTCTGCAGTTATCAGAAAAACTGCACAAGGCTTAAATTTGAAAATTCACTATAATTCGTACACAGTGAATTATGTGATGAACTTTATATGGATAGAAAGCCCTTTAAGTATAGTTTCTAAATCTTCAAACGGTTTATGATTTAGATTTGTATAACTCAAGTTATGATCAAATAAGTAAGTATAGTGCAAAATAGGAAACTACCACCTAGCATGGATAGGATCGATTCCCTTTAGAAGGGATCTATTGGTTTTCAAACAAAATGCTCCTAGGACTGAAAATCCAAAAAATGGATCGATCCCCCACATAGAGGATCAATCGGTTTTGGGCGAAAACACTCCAA